GGGAGGGGCTGCTAGGCCGCTGGGCGGCGGGGAGGGGCCGGGCGCACAGCCGAGCGTTCAGCTCCTCCGTGGACTGTGGCTAAACGGGGCTGCGAAGTCGTCGTCTTTATTTTTTGTTTTAACATGAGACGTCGCGAGAGATTAAAAAATAGAGCAGCAAAGGGCCCCTGCCCTCCTCCAAGCTGAGATGGAGGGGTGCAAGCAGGCCCCCCGCCTTGGGGGCACGGGGTGGAGGGTTTAAGAGCTCGGAGATGTGTCGTTTTGCTTCGGGGCAGGGATGCAGGACGAGGGGGGAGATGCCTCCACCTGGGGGCTGCCCAGCTTGCTGTTCCCTGGTGTAGGGAACCCGTTGGCCCTGGGGGGTGAAGGCTGGAGCAGCAGGGAGGCCTGAGGTTTGGGAGGCCACGTCCTCAGGAGACGCTTGAAACGGGTGGCCTCCCGCTGCTGGTGGATGGAGAAGAAAGTGAAGCCGGGCGGGGGGTAGGAGGGGCCACCTTGTGCAGGTCGGCGGCCAGCGCGCCCGCGATGTCCTTCTCGCGCTCCTTGATCATGCGCCGCAGCGCCTCCAGCTGCTGGATGCGGAACTGCAGGGGGCGGGTCCGGCCCGAGGCGAAGGCGGCGCGGGCCCGCTGCACGGCCTCGCCGATTTTGCCCATGGTGCCTGCGGGGACGCGGGGCCTTGGAGCGGGCGGAGGGCAGCTGCCCCTCCTCCCGACCCGACGCCGGGCCCTGGGGGCACCGGGCCCGGGGGCCGTGGAGGTCGCACCCTCACTGCTCACTGCTCCCCCTTACTTTACAGGAAGAGGCAGGTCTCCCCAGGGGCGGTGGGGCAGTGCCCTTCTTTGGCCTTCGCGCCTCCCTAAGCCAGAGGTCTGGACCCCGGGCCCCTGGATGCGCCTGACACCCCTGCGGCCAGGCCGGGAAGGAGTGCGGGAGACCGAGAGTGTGACTGCGGGCGGGCCCTTACCGGCGCCGCGCGCCCCGCTCCTGCCTCAGCCTGCTCCTGGCCAAGCTGCTGCGGCCCCCAGGCCAACCCTCCAGGAGCTCTGCGCACCCAGCCAGCCGCCTCCCAGCCCAGGCTGGATGGCACAGGCGGCGACTCTACACCCAAGCTGGCTAAAGGGAAGCCAGAGTCAAAACACCCGCCTTTCTCAAAGGCTTCGAAGGCAGAACCAGGCTTGGCCTGTAACACCCGAGACACAGAGCTCCGGCCTGCAAAGAGCTTGCAGAGCTTCCAACCTCCACGCACAAGTGGGGAGGGGATTCCTGCTGCGGGTGCAAGAAACCATATTGACAGGTTGGGATGTCCTTCCTGAGAGCCATTTGCCTACATTTAGCAAAGCCTTTAAAAGGTATTACTCTGACAGGTTCACATTCAGGAGCTTATAGAAATTACAGTGTTTCTAAACACTCTCGAGTACGAAAGTTCATCAAGCTTGTTTATACCAGAGAAATACTGGAAACATCCTAAATGTTCATCAGCAGGAGACAGTTTAGCCCTGGGCAGGCGGTGCAGTTGATTGGAGAATTGCCCCACACACCAAAAGGCAATGGTTTGATTCCCTGCACGGATGGGTGCAAGAGGCAACCGAATGCTGTTTCCCCTCACACATTGACATTTCTCTCTCTCTAAATATCAATTTAAAAAAATTTTAAATAAAAATAAATGCCCTGGCCAGGTAGCTCAGTTGATTAGAACATCGTACTGATACACCAAGAGTGTGGGTTCGATCCCTGGTCAGGGCACATACAAGAAACAACCAATGATGCATAAGTAAGTGGAACAACAAATAGATGTCGGCCTCTCTCCCTCTCTCTCTCTCTCAAATCAATAAATATTTAAAATAAATAAATTAAATAAAAATAAGTGGACTATGTTGCACCTAAGTGATGGCTGACTGAGCAGTATTTAGGAGAGAGACAGAAGTTTCAGCACCTTTACAAAGGGTGCTCTCTCTGTGCCAGATGTATCCCCCACACAAGGGATGATAAAGAAAGCAGGTTACAGAACAGCAGGTACACTAGGTGTGCATGTGTGTGTGCACATGCAAGAAGAGACCAGATGGGCGGCCCCCACATGGTGGCAATTGGTAGGGGTGGAATTAGTGGTGATCTTTGCTTTCATCTTCTGTAGTGCTAAATTTTTGTGCAATGAATTTGCATCTATTTAAAACATTTGTTAACACAATGAGGTATCACTCACACTTGTGAGAATGGCTGNNAGAAAGGGGAGCCCTAGTGCACTGCTGGTGGGAATGCAGACTGGTGCAGCCACTATGGAAAGCAGTGTGGAGGTTCCTCAAAAAATTAAAAATCAAGCTGCTTTTTGACCTAGTGATCCCACTTCTAGGAATATATCCTAAGGAACCCGAAACACCAATCACAAAGAACTTATGCACCCCTATGTTCACAGCAGCACAGTTTACAATAGCTAAGATCTGGAAACAGCCCAAGTGCCCATCAGTAGATGAGTGGATAAAAAGCTGTGGGGCATTTACACACATGGAATACTACGCAGCTGTAAAGAGGAAGGACCTTTTATCCTTTGAGACAACATGGATGGACCTGGAGAGTATTATGCTAAGTGAAATAAGCCAGGCAGAGAAAGACAAACATCACATGATCTCACTCATATATGGAATATAATGAACAAAATAAACTGATGAACAAAATAGAAACAGAGGCCTGGGTACATAGGATAGACTGTCAGGGGGGAAGGCAGATGAGGGGACTGGATGAAAGAAGGTGAAGGGATTAGCCAAAGAGCGCATATGCCTGCCGATTATACAAAAACAACAGTGTGGTGATGGCCAGAGGGAAGGGGAGGTGGGGGTTGGGTGGAGGTAGGCAAAGACAGGGAAAATGGGGACATATGTAATACTGTCAACAATAAAAATTAAAAATAAAATATTTAACTTTTTGAATAAAGGTAATCTGTAATAGGTAATCCATGCTCATGGTAGGAAATGTAAAGATACAAAAAAGAGGGGCACAGAGAAAAGTAAGCCTCTCTTCTCCCTCTCCTTTCTCTCGCAGCAACTCCTTATTGTCCTCCCAGAGGTATTCCACCCACTTCAGACACCGCATAACTTCTAACAGAAGAAAGTAAAAAAAATAAAACACAATAAAGCTTCCATTTTGCAAAAAAAATTATATATACCACACATATGTATTTATAGCACATATATATGTATGCAATAATGTATATATGATATATATACTATGTGTCATATATATGTATGTATATATGGTATGTATTATTATAGTTGTTTTTTCCCCAGAAGATGGAGGTATCCATGTGCGTGTGTTCCTGTTTAATTCTAGCAAGTGGTATCTGATTCCTTCCACTGCCTCTCCTCTCCATGGCGCTGACCCCGACTCCAGGCTTTCTGCACAGTGAGGGGGGCCCTGCTGGCATCCAGGGCACCCCTCTGGACATGTCATGGACCCCTCCCTAGGTCTGATGGAGGGAGCCCTCTCACTGGGTACCCCACTAACCATGACCACACAGCCCAACAGGAAGGTCCTCCTTCCCTCCCTAGCCTTGTGTGGTCAAACCAGAGCAGCAGCCTCTGGCCATCGGCCACCAAGGCCAGGCAGCCCAGGGCACAAGAGCCTGGTGTGAGACAGGGTAGGCTGGCACCCCAGTTAGTATCAGAACTGTGTGGTCCCTGGAAGGGGCCTCCCTGTGCCTCCTCTGTGGATAGTGTTGATCACAGCTCACAGTTATTACAAAGATGAATGGAGAAGCAAGCATCTCCTGTTGCACCTGACACCCCACTGGGAGCAGCTGGAGTGCACCTCCTGCATCCCTAGGTCCTGCCGCCTCCCCTGTGGACGGCCTCCCCTCATCATCCCCTTTGATCCTCAAAAAACTCTGGAACTTTGGGAGGCCATTTTATAGGTGAGGAAAGTGAGGCTGAGAGCCGTTCAGTGCCCTGTCTTGGTCTCACAGTTAGCAAGCGGCAAAGTCAGGATCTGAGCCGGCTTCTATCTCTATCCTCAGCTCACGCCTNTTTGATCCTCAAAAAACTCTGGAACTTTGGGAGGCCATTTTATAGGTGAGGAAAGTGAGGCTGAGAGCCGTTCAGTGCCCTGTCTTGGTCTCACAGTTAGCAAGCGGCAAAGTCAGGATCTGAGCCGGCTTCTATCTCTATCCTCAGCTCATGCCTTTTAACTACTGAGCGTTGCTGCCGTCTGGGGGAGTGGATTAGGGCTTCTCCCCCACCATCCTCTCGGCCCCCTGCTTCTCTGATCCTTGGGGCCCCCACCTCCCAGTGCTGGGGGACAGCAGAGCTGTCAGAGGTGGGCTTTGGACCCTCAGGGCACCAACCCAAGGATTCTCATTAGACATTCCTGGGGTGTAGGGAGGACCAGCCAGAGATGGACCCCACTCCTGGTGCCAGCTCCAGCTAGATCTCCCCACCTAGGGAAAAAGATAAAGAACTTGGATGGGAGAGGATTACCTTTGACAGTCTCTCTGGGTGGCTGGAGCTCCTGGAATGAACACCAGCCCTGAGTGGATGCATTTAAGGACCTTCTCCTCATCCACTCAGCCTTCTCCCCGCCCACTCAGCCCTGGCATCCCTGCCCTGGAAGTTACGCAACAAGACCAAAACAATATTCAAAGGTGGGGTGTAGCACAATCAGGGCCTCTGCTCCCCGGGAGCCCCAGCTTCAGGGATTAGCCCTTTGTTCACTCTAAAATGCAGGAATGTGTCTTTGAAGGCTTGGGCAGGGCTCACATCCAATCTTCAGAAGGAGCCCAGGCCTGTGTTTGCCCTGGGCGTGGGGTCTGCTGATTGATTCAGCCTGACGTGGACTTCCTCCAGATTTCCAAAGTGCAACAGCCAGAGGCAGTCCTCACGATTTTTCCAGTTACATAAGCTCAGTAGCGGGTGGGGTCCGAGTCACAGTGCGGGTCACAGCTTCCTGAGGGGCCCCGCTGCACAGGCTCATCCCCTCGCCCCTCTGCCCTGTGCACCGGCGCCAGGGCACCATCAAGGCTGAGCTCTCCAACCCTGGAGACCTTCAAGCCAGCTTTTTCCCCACTGGTATGTGATCTGCTGTCTTGTTGAACAGCAGAGAAGAGGCCAGGAACCAGTACTAACTGCGAGGGATCTTCCTCTGTGTGGTTGTCCAGGAAACCAGACACGCTCGGGAAGGAAGGGCTCTGGAAGCCCCTTCCTCCATTATTTAGCAGATGGTTGCTGGGCACCTGATCTGTGCCATGCACTGGGGATGGAGGCAGATGTGGAGAAGCACAGCCCTCACTCCTCACACCTCCCCTGCCCCCATGGACTCTAGGCCTCCTCCTGCCAGGCACTTCCTGCCACTGGCACCCACCTGAGGACTGTTCAGCCAGCGTTAGGTGTCCTTGCTTCCCATCTCACTGGGAGCAAAACACAAATTTTCCATGATGTCCTAGAAGCCCCTGAGGATGGTCTTGCCCTTCTCCCCCCACCCCCCGGAACGCCCTTCCCGGTGCACCCACCCACGTAGCTCTGCTCAAATATGATGTAAAAATAGCAGCAACCCCGAGACATCGCTGTCTTCTTCCCCCAGAGCATTCACCGCCCTCTGACATGCGGCTTGTCTGCATATTTCGTGTGCTACCTGTCGTCCCCCACAACTAGAATTTGGTTCCCTGCTGCAGTCCTTAGCACCTATAACAGTGTCTGGCACATAGGTGCTCAATAAATATTTGTTGAGTGATGGGGTAAGTAGGAAATTTCAAAATGATATGAAAGGTGTAGCAATTGGAATATGCATAAGATGCTACAGGGACTCAGATAAGGACCCCCTGGGGAGGAGAAACAGCATCTGAGCTGAACGAGGGGTATTTAGGCAAAGATCAGAAGGAGGGCTTGGAACAGCAAAAGCAAGGCACAGAGGCAGGGGTCAAAGTCCTCTGTCCACCGCAGTTATTAATTAGGTGTGACGTGTACACTGTTACTAGCAGGAGGTGAGGGGATGAAGGGGGCTCTGGGGGCAGGGGGCTCATGGAGGTCTGTGGGCTAGGCCAGGCTGTGGGGGTGCCGGAGCACGAAGAAGCTTATCATAGAGACCTATATCTGAGATTTTTGTTTTTAGGGAAGCCCTCTTAATAGGGTATATTCTTAGTGAGGTCCAGACTGAAAGCTGAAATGACAAGACCCCAATCTAGATGAGGGGCGGGAAGCCCTCCAGAATAGCAGGAGGCAACACTGACAGGCTCCGGGCCTGGGGTGCCTGGGGTGCCGGGGCTGCGCGGGGGGCAGATGGGGCACCCTCTGAGATGGGAGGAGCAGGTGGGTGGGCCAGGCCTCTTGCGCCAACCTGGAACCCTCCCCCACTCCCACTTTTTGGTGGTGGCCCCTGGTCATCTTTGGAGGAGACCCTTGCCCTCTGCTTGTAGACTCGGTGAGGGGCCAGCCAGGTGCTCTGCTGCAGGCTAGCCAAGGCGAGCGCGGTCCCCAGGAGGCCCAGATTCCGCTGGGAGCTTCGCCAGCGGAGGGCGGGATGCGAGGCCGGAGGAGCTGACTCACCCTGACGGCGGCGCCCTGCAGGGCCCGGCCCGGGGCGCCCTGGGGTCGGCCTCAGCCCCCCTCGGTTCTGCGAAAGCTCTGGGGTCGGCCTCAGCNTGCAGGGCCCGGCCCGGGGCGCCCTGGGGTCGGCCTCAGCCCCCCTCGGTCCTGTGAAGGCCCTGGGGTCGGCCTCAGCCCCCCTCGGTTCTGCGAAGGCCCTGGGGTCGGCCTCAGCCCCCCTCGGTCCTGCGAAGGCCCTGGGGTCGGCCTCAGCCCCCCTCGGTCCTGCGAAGGCCCTGGGGTCGGCCTCAGCCCCCCTCGGTTCTGCAAAAGCTCTGGGGTCGGCCTCAGCCCCCCTCGGTTCTGCGAAGGCCCTGGGGTCGGCCTCAGCCCCCCTCGGTTCTGTGAAAGCTCTGGGGTCGGCCTCAGCCCCCCTCGGTCCTGCGAAGGCCCTGGGGTCGGCCTCAGCCCCCCTCGGTTCTGCAAAGGCTCTGGGGTCGGCCTCAGCCCCCCTCGGTCCTGCGAAGGCGCTCGCCCAGCGCTGCACTGCCAGCTGCACGCCCTGCCACAAACTGTCCTTCCTCTGGGCTCAGCTTCCTCAGGTGAAAAGCCCAGCGGGAGGAAGCCGAGGGATGAGCACCCCAGCCCTCTGCCCTCCTTGGGTTCCCGCACCCCTCCCGGAGGCTCGGCTGCGCCTTCTCTGCTCCTGAGGCGCCTTCATCCCTAGCAGCAGCCGGGCCCTGAACAGAACCAGGCAGCAAGCGCAGACCAGCAGCGGCCCGGAGGCTGCGGGGGCCCAGGCAGTGTCCGGCCCGCAGGCAGCTCTGTGGAAACGTTGCCGCTGCTGTCTCCAGGAGCAGCGGCTCCTAGGGCCTGGCACTATGCAGCGAGGAGCCTCAAAGCTCGTTTGTTCCTGTGGAGAAGAAAACCTTTAGATTTTAACTGTTCATTGTTATTATTATTTTGGTTAAGTTTTGGTTCCGGCTTAGCTTGAGTTGTCGTAGAAAGTGTGGCAGAGAGATGCTTTTTAGATTTTAATCTTTGAAGCTCTAATATTCCATCCCCAATGCCTTGTCCTAGCCAGGTTGTCACCTCTTTCTCTGGAGCCACTCCATTGCTGCCTGCCTGCTCTCCCTGAGTCCATCTCACCTTCTATGACCCCTCCAAAAGGTGCCAGAGGGGCTGAGGGCCTGAACATGCCCCTCCATTAACATCCTTCAGCGGCTTCCTACTGCTCCTAGGGGAAAACCTCCCGCGGTCTTTGAGATCTTGAATAATCTGACTTCTGGCTGCTTCATCAGCCTCAGTTCGTACCACTTCCCGACAGTTTCACTGCATTCCAGTCCACTGGCATTCCTTGAATGGCTCAATTTCCTACCTGAGGGCCTTTGCACCTGCTGCTTTCTCTCCCTGGAACACTTTTCCATCTATTCTGCACCACAGTAACTCTTATTCCTGTTCATATCTCAGCTTCTCTGACCACCCCGACCCCAAATGATACCTTCCCTACTTCCAGGAACCTGTCACAAATTGCAATAATATATTTGTTTGTGTATTTGAGTATTTGAGTATTTGTCGATTTTTTTTTTTTTTTTTCTCCATGCCTCCCACCCCCCAGGCTGGAATTTCCTTGAAGGCAGTGTTCTGAACTTTTGTTCAACCCACATATCCTTAGCACTTAGCACAGTGCCTGGCTCATAGGAAGACCTTGGAAGATCATGGAAACAGGCCAGCATACCGAATTATCCTGCAGATGGGGCTGGGCAGGGTCTGAGCTGAGTCATTTAGCTAGATGATTTTCAGCAAATTCACCTAAAGCTAGCAAAAAAAAGTTTGCTTCTTTTTTTAATTGAATTTATTGGGGTAATGATAGGGGCACTTATAATGTCCAAAGACTGAGCACTTGAATTAATCTGAAATATAATTATATTACTTATAAAATTTTAGAACACATATAACTTATGTGAGCAGGAATTTAAGTTTCTTTTTTCTAGGCCTTTACGCCGGTACACTCCCCTTGATTCCGGACAAAGCAATTAAGGAGGTGACGCATCTGGACAATGTATGCTTGAGCAGACATGGTCAGGCCGGCCCAAGCAGGAGTCAAGAGATCATCTTATCGAGACATCGCCAGATGTCCAAGAACAATAGCTGACTCCTGCGGACCTCGGGGGCTGCACAGTAGCCACATTCTGTTCCCAGCCTATATAACCGTATATAACCCTATATAACCCTATCCCTCAGGCCACTCCTTAAGACAGGCTTTGGATGCTCGTATGTTCCCTGTCTTCTTGGTTGGCCGGCCTTCTCAATAAACGCCTTATGTGATTCAATCCTGCCTCCATTGAACTGGATACAGCGACAGGCAGCCCAAGCCCCACCGGGGTTTCTCGGTAACAGTAACACTGGTTAACAAAATTATACAGGTTTCAGGTGCACAATTCTACAACACACGTCTGTCCACTGTATTGTGTGCTCACCACCCCAAATCAGGTCTCCTTCCATCACCATCTATCCCCCCTACACTCTCCTCCACCTCCCCCCAGCAATCACCACACCGTTGTCCATGTCCATGAATGAATGAATGAAACAATTAGCTTAAAAATTATTTTGCTTGAATTTCAAGGAATGTTTTGGTTACAAATAGATATTTGGGGGGGAAAGCCACTTTCTTTTTGTTAATGTAAGAAACATTTAAACCTGTGAAGACTTGTTGTGAGTTTATTTGAGCCAAACTGTCGTCACATGTGAGAAGCAGAGTCTGAACAGATTGAGATAATGCTCCGGAGAACGGCAGGTTTGCACCTTGTTTCACACGTTACCATCAAAAGAGGAGGTGTAAGTGGCTACATGAAATTCGTTGGTGATTAGGGAGGTGGGAGAAAGCGAAGCAGGAAAACCTCTGGGACTAGATAAAAAGTAAAATGATAGACACACACTTCTTTTACTTAGGTGGGTGCAGTATAGTTAACAGTCAACAGTTAACATG